CTGTCTTAGCTCTGGCTGCCATAACAAAAAACTGCAGACTGAGTGGCTTAAGCAACAGAAACGTATTTTCTCGCAGTTCTGGAGGCTGGAAGTCAACGTGCTGGTCGGGTTGGTGTGTGGTGAGACCTCTTCCTGGCTTCTTGGCAGCCGCCTTCTCACTGTGTCCTCACGTGGCCTCGACTCTGTGCGTGAGTGGAGAGAGCTCTCCGGCATCTCTTCTTCTCATGAGGACACCAGGCCTATTGTATCAGGCCTTATGACCTCATGTAACTGTAATTCTTTCCTAAAAGCCCCATCTTCAAATAAACAGTCACATTGGGGTGTCAGGGCTTCAACATACGAACTTGTGGGAGATACGGCTCAGTCCATAGCAGGTAACCAAGACAGAATTAGGCACAAGTGGAAAAATTTACCTTTTCCTTGTCCCCCTTTCTCTCCCTGCACATGGGGAATTCACACGGCCCTGTGGTTTCCTGCACCCACACCTCTCCCTGCTAAAACTTGGCTTCTAATCAAGTCTGACTTCTTTTACGAAGCGCCCCATTTTTAAGCCCATTCAACTTGTAGACATGTTTATTAACGGAGGGAGTATGTGGTGTGTGTGTTTATTGGAATCAACAGCCAACTTTTAAAAACAGGGACATTTCAGGTGGAAATCCGGAGTCCCAGCTCCCAAAACCCCAGAAGAGCTGGTGAGGTGCCCATCCCTACGTTGCACCGAGAGCTTGGAGCGGGTTGCAGCTGCTCTTTACATGGGCATGAGCCTCACCAAGTGCTGCACTCCCCATCACTCTAGAATGTTCTAGGCCTGGCCCCATCTGCCCTTTCATATTTCCTGCTGTTCCCTGAGGCGTTTGAATTCTCAGCTGCTGCCTCAGCCCCTTTCTTCCTCCCTTGTGTTCATCAGAATGTACTTTTGCCCACAGTTTTGCTAAACAGGAGACAGAAAATCAAATAAGGCTATCCTGATTTAATGTGTTAGTGGGTACGAATGGAATAAAGTCGCCTTTGCTGGCCCTTTCTGTGGCTGCCCTTTGAGGGAGGTCAGGGTACACGGTGCCAGCAGTCCTCAAGTCAGACTCTAGAACTCTCGCGTCAGCCTGCCTGGAGCTGGTCCTCACCTCTCTATGTTCGTCTGTGAAGTGGACCATCCGTAAGGATCTTATCCCTTCGTATCTGTGGTTGCAGACAATTCAAGTCAACGGACTGTGCATTTGGATTCACAGGCCCTGTCTCGTTATGCAGCCAGTGTTTGGTAAATGCTAAACCCTCTTACTTTGAATGGCTTTAAACTTAAAGGATCCGAGACTCAAACTGTTCCCATTGCAATGCTTAAGAATTCTCCCCTGAACAGGAGAGCTGTTCCATTACCAAAGACGTGAACAGATGTGCAGAGGCTGGCTTCTCTCTTCGGTCGTCGTGTCAGGTCGAGAAGACTGGGCTGGAGGGCGGTTTCGTGCAGCTTGTGTTCCGAGGGCTCTTCGTCATCACAGTCCTGGCGATGCCTGAGTCACAGCTCCCCATCTCCAGGCTGTGGGTGTGCATTGTCAAACCGATTCCCAGGCGCTCAGATGTGGTCAGCAGTCAGCAGTGTCAACCCCCACAACAGGGAAAGCCAACGGGGGCATAAATGACATGGCAGGATGGCTGCGCGTGCCCACCTGTGACCTGAGGCTCCGAGGTGGCTGGCCACCTTACCCCAGGCTGTGGAGAGCCTTGTTGATCAGACAGGAGTGTCAGATTATGTTAAATCCACTGCATCCTCCTCCTCCTCCTGTGAGTTGTCATAGCGGGTGCCACCCGCGCCCGTTGGGAGAGTCTCGTTTTGTCGTGTTGCGACTGCAAGCCCACATCTTTTGGGGGACTTCTGGTCTCAAGCATGCGACCAATACATGAGGTGATCTGTATTTTTCTTGGTTGCATTTCTTTGGTGGCGCTGATTAACTCAGAAAGGCTGGATTTAATTGGAGCAGTGACAGCTTCCCTGGGTGGGCAGCTCTGGTCCTGCACAGTGTCAGAGATGAGGACTTCCAGGGTAAGTCTCCCTGCTTTTCAGCATCTTAACAGGATCGGAAGCATGAGCAGTAGCCATTTTCTGATATTTCGCCCAAGTACTGCGAATGCGTGCATGTCAGAGTGGCGTCCGTGCCCTGCTCCCGTGAGGGGGCGGGAGGACTAGTGTGCTGAACCTGCAGCACTGAGGACGGAACCTCAGGTCCCCCCGTTCCACACCCACCTCTGGGCTTTTTCAGGGGTGAGCAACACGTATGGAGAAAGCGAGATGCTCATAGTCTGGTGGATAAGTCACACAATCTGTGTAGGTTTGGGCTGGCATCTTCCCTCTTCTCTGGCCTTTGCTGGAATGGACGTCCTGGCGAGACGTGGGTCTTCTTCAGCCTGGCTGTGTGGAGGGCTTTGCTCTCTGCTCAGGGGTTTCGTGACTGCAAGCACGGGGGTGGGGATCGTTTGTTTGGGAATGATTTTGCCTTTCAGCAGCTCTTTCTGTGACTGACTTATCGCAGTGGGGGGACCAGTAGCGTATGTAGCACCCTGAAGCACCACTTCGTGCCTGGACCCATTGGGGAGGCTGCCTTGGGAAGGGATGGCGACGTTGCTCTCCCTTTGCATGGTGACGCCATGGTTCAGAGTTTCCTGGGCTGGATTTAGACCTGAGCTTTTTTTCTTGGGAAGGTTGGTTTCATCAGGTTAAGCAGCTGACTTTGAATTGCTGAGATGGAATATAAATAAAATAGATGAATGCAACTTTGCTACAACTACCAGGAAATTGGATGACTGAGCCAGCCCCATTTCTCTTCCCAATGATCCTTTCTTGCAATCCATTCTCCTAAGGGAGACGCAAAGGGGGGTGACGCATGAGCTGAGTGGTGGGTCCGTGGCAGAAGGTGGAAGATGCGGGCATCAGTAGGGTGCCTTCAGCAAGGAAGGGGACCACCTGTGTGAGCTGTGGTCGTGTGCACGCAAGTATGCTTGGAGCGCTACAGGAATTATCTTACTTAACCTTTACATCTAGTTGGATGGGCACTTTCACCTCCTTAGATCTCAGAGGGCGTAGAGATACCAGGGAACCCACCTGAGACCACACGGCTCACAAGCGAAGAGCTAGAGTTTGCATTTAGGCAGTTGGTCCTCAGAACCTATATTCTACCCCTATTTAAAACTTCTGTAATTCTCTGAGATATTGCTGCCTTAGTTGACCTTAGGGCACCTAAGGCCTCCAAGGTCAAGGGTCAGGTGCTTCGATGAGTACACCCATCCCCAGAAGATGCCCAGTGATTCTCATCCTTGGGACGTGCCCCACAGAATGTCCACAGTTCTCCTAAGGAGCCACGTTGTAATTTGCTTTACTTGAGAAAGATAATGATGAGTATATGCTATTGGGAACATCCCAGAGAAGGGGAGGTGATGGCCACGCTGTCAAGCACCTTCCCCTAGGCTGGGGAATCCCTGTTCACAAAACGGAGCAGCACAGGGGGTATTCGGAGGTTGCTTCCTTGTGCTTCGTGCCCGTGAAACTGTGGGGGCCAAGAAGTGGAGGAGCTCGTCATGGCTGTGGCCGAGGGGAGGGGAGATTGACCAAAACGTGGGACCTGAGAGCAGCTGGGAGAGCCTTGCTCCTTGGGGAGGTGTGTGGAACCTCACAACTGCCCACCCAGTTCCTGTGGTGAGTGTGGTCGGAGCCCTCGAAGTGTCACCAAGGGGGCTCACCCCTCAGTTTGGGCCGTGGTGCCCGCACGGGAGCTGGTCTGGGGAGTGAACAGAGAGCAAGCCCACAGATGCACGTGAGGAGGGGCCTCAGACCTGCTGCTGGAGGCCGAGGCCGCGCATGCAGGGCCCTCCTCCCCGGGCCACTGTGTGTCCCTGTCACCTCTTTCTTGTTCTTTCTGAGTGGACGTCGCCCCTTCTGTCTTTGCAAGGACCCTCCACTGCCTTATTGGAGTTGTTTTCAGGTCGCTTTACTATTTTCATTTCCTCTGGAGTGAATTCATCCTGGTAATTGATCTTCTTGGATCTCTTTGGTAGCGTGATTTTTCTTTATGTGTTTGGAATTTCTATTTTCAGACTCATCTTTAATGGACAGTTTTTACCCCCAATCTCTGTCTGTCTGTCCTCACCTGCCCCCATCTTACCTCTTTGGAGTTACTGTCCCACACCCTGGATGCTCCCGGCCTTGAATTAGGTTTTGTTATTGGTGGCTCAGGGTTCCTGTAGCACTGACACTAGGGAGAGACCCAGCCCAGACACTGAACCAGCAGGTCTGGGCCTCTGCCTCTCTAGGTGTTACCCTATAGAAGCCAGAGCTCTGGGCACAAGCTTTCTTTGGAGCTTGACCTCAGCCTCAGGCAGGCGGTGACCTTTGCTCGGGTCTCTAGTGTCATGTGGGGCACTTAAGTCCCACATATCCTAAAAAGAAATGGACTCCAAGTTCTCTCTGCCTGTTTCTGGACTCAGAATCTGGCTGGTCCCAGGAATTCCACTCACCACATGTGTGCCAGCCATTCATAGTCCTCATAGATTTTTATCTTGTTTCTGAGCAGAACAAACCTTTAAAAATTTTCTCTGTTGTTTATTTGGCAATGTATTTGGAGTGTTGGTGAGGAAAAGAGTAGGTAAAGCTTGACTCGACGGCTCCGATGGGACAGTAGTTCTGTCGCCTCATTAGGATACCAGGGTGTAATGCAGGGAAGCACGTCACGTATCAGATGTGGTTCGTCTGCCGAGCACTTCACTGTGTGCTTAGTGTCTATCATCTTATTATATTCCTATAACAGCATCATAAAGTATCCTTACTCCCATTTTGTAGGATAGGAAACCTCTGGTTCAGAAAGAAGAAAGACACCAGTCCCACATCACATGGCTTGTGAATTGCAGAATCATACTCAACCCCGGGTCTAATTTCACATCAGAGCCCTCGACCACCATGCTCCATGTGTCTCTGGAGCTGGGGAGTCCTCTCACCATGCCCTTTCCTTTTGTCCTAGGAGAATGAACTGAAGGATGCTGTCCAGGGAGAGCATCGCCTGAGACCCCATTATGCAGGCCTTCCCGCAAGGGCCGGGCATCGCGACAAGGTAACTGACCTCCTCCGTTCATGGGCCATCAGGACCCGGGGGTGGCAGGGAGGGGAGGAATCACTCAACCGATGGAGGGTGACCCCGGGTCCTGCCCCTTACATTTCTTCCTATGACCACTACATGGGCACTCAATACTGCCTTGTCCACTGTCTACCAGCTGTCCCCACTTGGACATCCACTAGGGTCATATTCTTCACGGCAAGGCCAGAACAAAACTTTGGATGTGCACTCTCCTGAACCATTTCCTCTCCCAGTTTTTCACATCCTGGTAAACGGGTGAGCAGTTCTACCCGACTGCTCAAGCCGAGCTGCTGGGAGCCATCCTGGACGCTTCCTTGCCCCACTCCTACATCTGACTCACCCCAAGTGACGTCAGCACCAGCAGACCCCAGACCATCTTCTCCCTGCTCCACTGCTGTCACACCCTCCGGGCCGCCAGTCTCTCTTGCCCAGATGCTGGAACAGTCTCCGAATTAGCCTGTCTACCTCCCTTCTTGTCATCCCACCGTCGTTTTCCAGCAGCAGCCAGAGTGATCTTGTGGTACACATTGCTCCTCCTGAGGTCACACTGCTCCTCTGAATAGACCTTCCAGTGCCCCCACAGATGAAGATGCAAGGCCTCCCCGTGGCCGCCGTCTTGCTCCACGTGTGCCTCATGAAGTTGCAGCCCCTCTGACCACCAAGCTTGTCTCAGCTCTCGACGGTTTCCCCTGCTCAGAACTTCTGTCTTCAGATAGCTGGCAGCTTCTTGCCGTTCCTCTCTCAGCTTGAGAGCCACCTCCTCAGCGAGACTCTCCAGCCACAGATGGCTGCCCCATCTGCGTCCCCATCACTCCTCCTTCTATCTGTGTGACCTCACCCGGCTGCTATTTGCTTGTATCTATCACTCAGTCTGTCACGTGTCTTCATTTATGTGTTTGTCTGTCCCTCCTACAAGAAAGTCAGCCCCAAGGGGGCAGAGCCTTTGCTGTCGTGTGTGGAGAACCTGCATGTGGAGAAATGGGAACCCTTGTGCACTGGTGGTGGGAATGTAAAATGGTGCAGCCCCTAAGGAAATAGGATGGCAGTTCCTTAAAAAGTTAGAAATAGTACTGCATGGTCCAGCATTTCCGCTTCTGGGTGTATGTCCAAAAGAATGAAAGCAGGATCTGGAAGAGATACATGTGGGCCCACATTCACAGCAGCATTATTCACAATAGCCAAAAGGCAGAAGCGGCCCAAGTGTCCATCAGCAGATGAACAGATAAACCAACGTGGCCTGTCCACACAGTGGAGTATTATTCAACCCTGAAAAGGAAGGAAATTCTGACACATGTTAGAACATGGATGAACCTTGAGGATGTCATGGAAAGTGAAATGAGCCAGTCGCAAAAGACAACTGCGGCATGATTCCACTCACAGGAGGTCCCTAGAGGAGTCAGATTCATAGAGACAGAAAGCAGCATGGCGGGTGCCCGGGGCTGGTGGGGGGGAGTTAGTGTTTAATGGGGACAGAGTTTCATTTGGGAAAGTTCTGGAGCTGGACAGTGGTGATGGTTGCACAACAAGGTGAATGTACTTAATGCCACTGAACTGTGCACTTAAAAATGGTTAAGATGGTAAATTTTATGTTCTGTGTATTTGACCACAGTATTTTTTTAAAAGATGCGCTGTAAGTTCATCCGCATCTCTCCATTTAGTGCTTTCCCCGTATTCCCTCCAGCTCCCACTCCCTCCGTCCTCTTTCCTTTCCAACCTGCCCGCAGGGAAAACTCTGCTAACCACACTCTCACTGAGGGGTGAATGCCTAATGAGGCTTAGCGACCTTCTCAGCCCAGGAGTGTTTTTCTTTAAACAGAAATAAAAATGTAAAATAAAGGTGGTTTGCCGGCATCCAATGCAGGCTGACCCTAGGGCTGGTGGGAGCTGACTGTAGGGAGAGTTGACCCTGGGATGGCCTCTCTCTTCTGCTCAGATGACAGATTCCAGCTTTGTGAGGCCGAGGAGCTGCGGGTGCTGGTTGGGGCGGTGGGTGGACTCTTAGCTCCGGGTGGCCGGCCGAGGCGCCGATCTCCTTTCCCAGACTGGCTTTGCAGCTGTGCTGATGGGCATCGCTGCTCCATGGGATTCTCACAGAATCTGATGTGAGCTTTTCACTGAAGGTTTGAAACTGTTTCCCCTGCGGCCTCCCCGCCTCGGCCTTTCACACAGGCTTTGAGGCCCGGAAAGCGAGCTCGCCTTCCCTGGGCTCTGCAGGGTGTGTGCGGGCGGCAGTGACTCACCAGCACAGACTGCGATGGCAGAGCTCTGAGGGGGCGCAGGAGAGCCTGTCCGCCCCTGTGCGTGTTTCTTCATGGGCGGGCTGTGTGCGGGAGAGTCACCGTGAGAAACGGCGCCTCCCCAGAGGCTGTCCCTGGGGCCGAGCTGGGGCGGAAGGGGCAGGAAATTTCGCCTACGGCCCCCCAGGTTCATGGGGTCCTGCTCTGTGACTCTGACACGCGAGGACCCCTCCTGGTCCCAGGACGACGTCTGGGAACTCCCAGTTCTCAGTCTGACTCTGGCTTGGGTTTGCAGGCTGCCCTCTAGTAGCCTTGATCAGGAAGGCAGAATTAGAGACCAGAACCCTTAGTTACGGAGGCGAGGCGATGTGTAGGCAGTGTCCTCCCCGAAGCCGGCCCGGCAAGGCTTTGCTCTCTGCTACTGAGGCTGCAGCATTGGATTGCATTCCCTCGGGCAGGGAGCCCCGTGGGAGGAAATCGACGAGCCAGGGATCCAGGACTCGGTGCAATGGATGTGTTCTATGGACCTGGAGGCCTGCAAACCTGACTTCTTGTGGATTTCAGAAAAATGATTCAAAGTTCTTATTCCCCTGGGTTCATTAAACTCCTCCTAAGCTGGCCGCTGTTCCTGTAGCAGCTCAGAGGTCAAAGGTAGCTTCTCACTGAGTAACTGCTGCCAAGTGTTTCAGGCTGCATTTCCACCCGGTGCCACGGTTGCTGCCACCACGATCTGTATTTCAACACAGATGTGAGTTGAGTGGCTGGACCCGGTGCCCCAGGGAATTAATGTGTCGCTGTGTCTGTGGGTGATGACGGGTCTCGGGCAGCCGGCCAGACCTGGTGGCACCCTGAGTTTGGAGCCAGGTACTGTGTAGGTCGTTAAATTCATGACCTCGAACCTACGACCTATGAACTCCTCTTCCCTGTTGACCAGCATTCCGGGTCCAGTTAAGAATCGCTGGTGTGAACGATGATCGCGAAGCTCCCTGGCTGTGGGTCCCTCTTCTTTATCTCACTGTGAGGAAATTATGGGCTCAATAGGGGTGACACCTGTGGATGTTTGGTTTGCAGGGTAAGCACCTTTGCTTGGAAGCCTGGGGCCCTCGCCCAGCGGGCTCACCTGACTATCGTCTATTTTTCCTTCGTCAAAAACCAGTTTTGTGAGAGTGGACTGTCCGCAGCTTTCCATTTAATCAGGGCGAATGAGGACCTGTCTGGGCCCCTGACTTTAAAATCTAGGAACTTTCTTTTTCTTTTTTTGGGGGGGGGGGCAGCTTATACATCTTAGTGAAAATCTCCGAGTCCTTTTTGCTGTTCCAAGACGTCTCTCTTCGTTAGAAAGTGAATACCTGGCTCGGTTTCCAGGAGAATGTTCTAGTCCAAGTGTAACTGTGACCGAGACATGGGTTGGCTTTACGGGAGCGTCCTGGGTCCTGAAAGTGACCAGCTTGGAGCTCCAACAGCAGGCAGCTGGGGACCAGGGGACATATGAGCCAATGGGCCTCTCCACCGAGGCTCCTGGCACCATCAAGGCTGGAGGGGCCAGCTGGGCAGTGAAGCGAAGGCCCTGAGGCACCCGCCCTGTGAGCGGCCCCTGTGCCGAAGTCGAGAGGGTGTCTGTGTGGAGGCATCAGCCCTGCATCCCAGCAGAGCAGAGAGAACGCCCTCCTCCGGGTTCCTCGGCTGGGATCTTTCCAGGCGATATAACAGGGACCGGAGCTCCATGGTGGAAACACTAGGGGCGAGTTGTTCTCATGCAACAAGAAGTCCAGAGCCAGGGCAGAGGCAGCTGCTGGAGACGGACGAGGACACAGGTTCCCGCCCCTCCAGCGCCGTCCTGCCAGGCCATGGATTTTGTGATCACAGTGACAGGAATGACATCCTTGCCACAGCTGGAAGAACAGCCGAAGCCTCTCTCACGAAGCACTGTGTCCACGTAGGGTCGGTGTTCCCCAGAGGGTCCTGCTCGCCTGTCATTGGAGAACCGTGTCACTTGGGGTGTCAACCTGGGTCCCAGCAGGAGAGACGGCACACCCCAAAAAGCGATGGGCAGTGTAACTCAGGGCCGTTTCCACAGGTGTGGACCAAGTTAAGGGAGCCGACGGTGGCTGAAGCCTGTGGCCAGCAGCAGTAGAGAGCTCTCGTTTCTCGGGAAAGAGAGCAGCTGATCACAAGATATCGTTCACGTGAGAGGTGGGTCTTTGAGATTCTAAGACAGAAATCCGAGCATCCCGGTGTCGGGGCTGCGCTCCTTCTGGAGGCTCTGGGAGAGAACCGTGTCCTCACCCCTTCCAGCTTCTAGAGGTGCCTGCGTTCCTTAGCTTGTGGGCCCTTCCTCCATCTCTGAAGCTGGCAGAATAGGGTCTTCAGAGTCTCTCTTCTCACTGCGACTCTCCTGCCTCCCTCTTACAAGGACACTTGTCAGTACACTGGTCCCACCTGGAGAATCCAGGACCGTGTCCCAACTCAAGATCCTTGACTGAGTCACCCCTGCTGGTCCCTTTTGCCGGGTGGGTCACATGTTCACAGGTTCCCAGGTTAGGATGTGGACATCCTTGTGGGCCCGTCATTCAGCCGACCTCAGTCTCCAAAAACCCCAGTCCCTCTGTCTACCTCCTGTCCTCCTTCCAAGAGACCTTCTTGCCATCGGTGCAAACCAGAGAAATGACCTTAATTGTCCTGATGAACGTAAAGGGGACACGATGGGAAATTTTAAGTCGAAGAAATAAATGCAAAACCACAATCACGGTGTGTCATGAGGTCTAGTAAGGAGTCAGTGCCATCAACTTCCAGACCCTTCCGGCTGCCCAGAAGCCTCTGCATTTTCTGCCTCGTCCTCTTCTGCTTTCCTTCAAAGCACTGACTTTAAGACCAGGAAAACTCGGTTTTTCTCCCCAACATTATTGTTTTTTGTTAAATTACCGCAATGAACACAGTATTTCCCACAACAGAAGGACAGCCTATTAGCAACATTGTGAGGTAAACAGGATTGACGGTGGGCCTGACCCTCCCACGTCTGCCCTAACCGCGCTTTGCAGCATCCCTGTGGGGCAGCGATCTGTGCCTGCCGGTCAGTTTCCAGCTTCACGGCTGGACTGTGGCCTGTCTGCACTTGGGGATTGTCCATTCTTGACCAAAGCCCTGGGCAGTGCCCTTGGTGGGTGACTCCTGACTGCCCCGTGCTCTTATAAGGGACCCGATCATGAATAAACGTCCATAAGTCAGTGAGTTCTGCACACAAAACCTGAGACCCAGGTCGGCCTCGCCACCCGACAGGAGTCTGCCTCTGTGTCCGGAACCCGTCTCCTGACGTGTGGTCTTCAGGCAAGTCATTGTGCTCCTCTGCCATTAGATTTTTTCACAGATTTTACCCACCAGACGCCCAGGAGGAAATCAATGACACCTTCGCACTGGGTATGGAGGGGAGCTTCAGGGTTTCAGGTGTGGTGGGGTCCAGGAACCAGCAGGGTAGGGGAGCCTGGGGCAGCAGTAGCCAGGGCGCCATGATCCACCCAGGGGGACAGGGAGAGCATGTGGGAGAGGCCCTCCCGGCTGGAGCCGTGGCTGCGGTAGAAGGACACTGTGTTGGGGTCCCCAAGACGACCCCCAGGTTGGATGGCGCGCTAGGGGGACCCTCAGGGCCCAGCACACAGTCACGCTCACGGCTGTGACTTATGACAGCACAAGGATGCCAGGAGCTGCCAGCGAAGGGGATGGCACTGGGGGTGGGGAGCAGGGTCAGGCTTCCAGAGCCCCCCGGGGAGCCACACAGGACAAACTTGATTCCTGCAGCTGCGACAGCACCCATGATGTGTCGTCTCCCAGAGAAGCCCCCAGAGACCCCCGCCCAGGGGGCCATCACGTAGGCACCTCTGCCTGGCACCCCCCTGAATTCCCAACTCCCTGCAGGAGAGCAGGTGGCCCGCTCAGACCACGAGGTCTGTGCAGCCAGTCTGGACACAGCAAGCCCCTCTTTTCAGCAAGGGAAGGGTGAGGCCATCCTGAGACCCCAGCTCCCAGCCACTTGCCGGCAGCCCTGGGGGGTTGGCAGCCTCGGGCCTGTGGGGTGAGCTCTCTCCTGCACGGACGACCCCTGCAGGCAGGGCAAGGAGGGAGGGAGCTCACATCGACCGCGCTCTTGCCCGCGCCCGGATTTCCAGCTGGTCTCTCCTGCTGGCCAAACCTAATTAGGAGCTGGATTGTTCCAGAGATCGGCCTCCTGAGGCCCAGGGCAGATGGATGCCGGTGGAGAGTGGATCCCGAAGGACCAATGTAAATAATCTACCAGGAATGCAGGCCAGCTTTCCACTCCCCGGCTTCCCTCGATGCTTTTTCCACTCCGTCAAAAACGTTCCTGGACCCCTGACTCCTCTAGACTCTGATGATAGAGAGTTGAGTTGCAAAAGAAAACTCCTGTCCAATTGAAACTTACGTTCTAACTGGGAGCGACCACAAGAGAAACGTAAGCAGCTCACAGGATAATTTCAGATGGCGATAGATGCCCATGGGAAATAAAGCTTGGCAAAGTGGTGAGGGAAGGAGTGGAACAGGTGGTGAGGAGGATTTGTTTCCTAAAGTGGGTTAGGTAACATAGTTGATGAGAAGGAGCCAGACCCGCAAAGATTGGGGGTGGAGTGGGAGGTAGGTAGGTATGTGCTGCATTGGAAATACCACGTGCAAAAGCCCTGGGGTAGGAATGAGCTTGGCTTGTTTAAGGGACAAAAAGAAGGCCAGGGTGGCCTGGGCATGGTGAATGGGGGTGACAGGTAGCAGTTCAGATCAAGAGAGGCGGGGGGGCCAGATGCCGCAGGCCACTCCAGGAGTTTGAATTTCATTCTAATTTCTGTAGCAGCCACGGGAGGCTTCAGTCAAGGGTGGCACCCTCTGATCTGTATCTCGGAAAGCTTACGCCGCCTACTGTGTGCACTGGACTTGGGGCGTTCGAACGTGGACGCCCTAAGCCTAGTTTTCTTGACCAGTTAGAATGTGAGACGTGATGGCGCTCTGCACCTGTGCCCCGGTGTCCAGGTTCAGATGCGAGTACCGTTCGCTTCAAACAGGCCGTGACATTTTCACCTGGAGCATCTGGATTTTTCCAAGTGCCTCGCCTGCGGCATCGCGGTAGCAAAATGGCATTAAAATACTCCTGCGAGTCAGATCCCTCCGCAACCTCTTAAGAGCAGCTGCCCTGACCCCGTTCCATTTAGGAATGCCGGGCGGGCGCCTGCCTTTCTTTTGGGGCCGCAGAAATTGTCAGGTTAAATGAATAGTCGGTACGTAGAGTGAAGCAGAAAGGACCTCTTTTGTAGCTGACGAACACGACTTTGTGACAGTCTGTTACTGAAGCCGTAATTCGTGCTGTAACATTCGAGGAGGGAAAGAAGTGGTACGCCCGCAGCTGGGTTAAAACGAGCCTCACCGTGAGATGGAACGGGAATGAGCCGCGGAAGGCTTCCCATCGCAGGCAGGCCCTCGTCTGTTTCAAAGAAGCCGTAGGAGGGTTGAGAGGAAGTGGTGCCTCCCAGACAAGTTCCAAACACGGCCCTGGGGGCTGTGGTCTGAGATTGGATGCGGTTCTGAGGAGCATCGTCATTCTAATCCACACGGAGCCTTGTTGCCATTTTGTTCACTTTTAAGACGGGGGTGAAATTTTTAGACAAAAGAATTAGTATCTTGGACAATTTGGGTAACACTTTTGTATTCATTAAGACTTTTAGTTCAAAGGGGCAGAAAACCATTTAAATTAGTGTAAGCAAGCAAAGGGAATCTATTGTCCCAAGTAAATGGAAAGGAAAACATTAGCTTCAGGCACAGCTTGATCCAGGTGCTCAAATTATGTCATCAGCATCCTGCTTCTCCCTCTGCATCTCTTGGTAATATCCATTTTGTTGGCTCTGTTCTCACATGGGTTATTCCCTTAGGATGGCAAATGGTGCTGTAGCTCCAGCCGTTTGTCCTCAACTTTCCAAGTCCAGTGGCAAGTCTAATATCTCGTTCTCCATGGATGCAACTGGGTCACGTGCCCCTCCCCAGCCAATCACTATATCCAGGGGATGGGGTTGCTCTGATTGGCCAGGCCTGGGTCACATCCCAAGTTCTGAACCAATCTCTCTGGCTGTGGTGGGTTGAGGGGGATGAGTGGCCAGCCCTCGGTCACATGCGTTTACCCCAGCAAGAGTGGACTCACCGTGAAGTCCATGTCTGAGGACCAGGGAGGGGAAGGCTCTCCAAAGAGAAATGAAAGAGGAGGTGAGAGACGCTGGCTGGGGACAGGTGCCCCTGCAGCCGTTAGCCATGTCATAAACAGCTTCCTTCTCTCCATCCTTGCCTCCTGTAGGTGAAGGCGGAGTATGCTCGGCTCAGCCACGCGCTCACCGTAGTGACCAGAGAACGCGATTTGGCCGTGAAGGAGAAACACCAGCTCCAAGCCAAGCTGGAGAACCTAGAACAGGTCCTAAAGGTAGGATGGGCCCCGCTGCTCCTCTCGGGGTCGGCGTGAGGAAGGGGACCCAGGTTCCAGAGAAGGTGGTTGACACTCCTCCAGAAGCCGTCATCCAAATTCTGGGCTCCGGGGGCTGTTTCTACCCTTTTTATGGTATAAAAAGTGATAAATAACAAAATTCAAATGTTTCGGAAAGCGAACCCATGAAGCCAATTAGGCATTTCCATTTCTTGGGATGTTAAACACAGCTGGGCGAGAGGTGCCAGGCAGCCTCCCGAATGGAAATCAGCCTGCTGGAGCGGAAGACCCGAGGTGTCTACATTGGTTTTTCAAACTTCATGAATTTTAAGCTGCTGCTCAGATGTTTAATAACCTTTATGATAAAGAGAATAGCTAAGTCAGAAAATTGTTTTATCAGGGCGAGGTAATTGGGTCCCCCTCATGCACGCCCGGTGAGCTGGGTCGCCTTCAATATTTAATGGGTGGGTTGATTGGCTATTGATGTCACTGAGTTAAGCTGATTGAATTCTTTGCCTTTTTTTTTTGAGCGTTAAATTTTTATTGGATTCTCTTTGTGGGAAAATTTTTTAAACACAAAGAATAAAATAATAATTGCCTCCAGTCCTGCGATCTAGTCCCTGCATGATTTTAATCGTTGCGTTTCGCGAGCACGGAACGCAGAGCGATGTGCCCACCGGCCTGCCTTCCTTGGCAGTGGTTTCAGCTCCGTCTGTGACGTCTGGGAAGCTGCCGGAGCTCTCAGGGGAGGCAGATTGATGTTGGCAGGACTGGGGCGAGGCGGGCAGTGGGCGGTGACTGCTGGGGGGTACTGGGTTTCTTTGGAGGGTGATGAACATGTTCTGGAACCAGATACTGTGACGGTTGCAAAGCCTTCGATTATCTTAAAACCACTGAACTCTATGCTTTAAGAGGGTGCATTTCGTGGTATGTGAATTATATCTCAATTTAAAAATCAAGGCGCCCTGTTGTCGCACTGCCGGCCCTGAATGTGAACCAAGCTTGGGGTGTGGTTCTCACCTCCACGCCTCTGTGTCCCCGGCCTGCCTGCCATCGGTTGGGCCCGTCTTCCCTCCCACTGGAGAGGTTGAAGGGCTGTGGGCTCCGCCTGGCACTTTGGGGCCCGCTGCCCTTTCTGTCCGACCTCGGCTTTGAGCCTCAGCACTAGGGCCCCACATGCGGTGGACACCGCAGACTGATGTCCGGGTTCCATCCATCGCGCCGTGCAAACATCCGTTCCTCGCTGCCCTCCCGTCTGGGTGTCATGTGCCCTTGAGGGGGTCCATGGGGAGGAGCCTGTGCGGGACCTGGGGTGAGCTTGGGGACTTTGGTTCAGGGAGTTCCAGGGTCTGGGTAGCTGGTTGTGGTCTAGGAGAGGAGAGTACAGGATCTGGATGGCACGTCCCTCTGGCCCCATGGGACAGGGGCCCCAGCTGCCTGGTTCTAGAACCAATAATGTTCTCCTGGGGCAGCAGGACGTTAGCTGGGCAGGCAGCCTGTGAGTGGCCGTCAGTGGACACGGTCGTCTGGAGAGCAGCCTGAATGGGAGGAGTTAACGGCTATGAGGTCCCCATAGGGACAGTGACAGCATTATGGGGCCAGGGTTCTGGCACCTGCCTCCCCTTGGTCTCCAGCGGGCACCACATATTTTGGGCTGTTGATCATGTGACAGCCAGGGCAGTACTGTTCAAATGGGAATCAGGTCCCAATGTCAGCCCCAAACCCTCCTCACAACCCCCCAGCTCACTTACCCAAAGCCTGAAGCCCGGACCGGGCCACTCCCGCCCTCTCGGCTCGTGTCCTTTGCTCTCGGCCGACTCGCTCGCACTGCGCCGTTCCCTTCCTGCTCCAGTCCCGGGCCTGGAACAAAGCCAGGCCCTCAATACTCGCTCCAGACAGTTCTTCTCTCGAGACGATCTTGACGAGTGAGTGGATGGTGGGCTCAGAGGCCAAGGTGCAGACCCTCAGGAGCCTGCATTGCAGGACCGGCCGGGACCAGGCCAGCTGGGAGGGGGCCTTGCTGGAAGCAAACGACCTCTTTCTTAAAGGACTTCTGCTCTGTGAAAAAAGGGGAGAGGGGAGAAGTGGAGATGAAAGGAGCCTCGTCCTTTCCAAGGGGCGCTTCTGTCGCAGAGGAAGGAAAGTGCTTGTGTTGCGAATTTGCAAAACCTTCTGTGATCTGCCCATTTCCCACACCGGGTCCCGCGAGAGCCTTTGTGACTGAGAGAAGGAGGGAAAGACGGGGAGGTGACCGTCCCCTGCAGGCGTGGATGGGATCCCTGTGCCCTTGGACAGGACCTGCTAACTCTCGCGGCTCTCCAAGAGTCCCCTCCCGCGGGGTAACTACATGTTTTGAAAGCATCGCCTCAGCTGATACCGACTGAAAAGCACAGCGACTTTCATGCAGTTCTGCTGGCATTTTTGTCATAATAATAAAGGGCTGTTCAAAAGTGGCCTTTTTTCCCTGAGCAGCAGAGCCCGGCAGTGGTGATGACGGAGCGGGCGGTGAGCGTGTGCTGGACCGAGATGCAGCCGGCTTGACGTGGAGAGCCTCCGAGGCCCAGCCCTGCCCTCCTGCGCACTTGAGGAGAAGGATGACCTTGGGTTTCCAGAAGTGGCCTGGACTCCTCCACAGGATCCCGAGTGTCGTGCTTGGTCTTCTGTGTCAGCGATTTTGGTCTGAATGAGAACCCACGCTGGTTCCAGGCAACCTGACTTACCGGGAGCCAGAGGGGACGTCACCAGGCTCAGAGGCCGTTGGGGAGGATGCGAGGCCATGCGGGACTCCGATCTCCACGCATCTGAGGCCGAACCTGGACCAATGGCCCTGCTCCCGACCCCGAGCCTTCACATGGGAGGAGCAGAGATGCTGACTGCTAGGGTGGGGAGCCGGGGACTCTCCCAGACCACATGCGTCACTGGCTTCTACTGAATTGAGAATGGAAGATATCTTTTCCCTTGAAAATATAAAAGCTTTTAGTGAAACACATATTGAAATTGGTGACATTTTCTAAGACAATCCATCTAGAATAATACGGAAACTGACTAGAACTCCCAGCATGAACCAAGCCAGTAACATTTAACCTGATCTGAATCCTCCTCGTTTTTATACTTTTAAAAATAATAACTGATGAATTCATCATCTATGTATGTGTTTTTATCATCTTTCCAAGGATGTGGTCAAATCATCAAAATTGTCCCGTATAATCACGTGCTCCAATGATGTGAATGGAAGTAGGAAATTCAGATAAAGAGAAAGGGGACTCCAAAATGCTGGCTTGGAGGATAGACATCGCTACCTAAGGTTCTCATCTGGCCTGAGTGTCCCAGCAGCCTGGACATAAAAGGATATATGAGCGATGATGTAATTCTCACTTCGTAAGACGAGGGAGCTTGCTGTTTCCCCCAGAAAACGTAGCCTGGAGGGCCGAACATGGTTTTACCTGGAAAGTGATGTTGGACGATCCAGGATAACAGAGCGGAAACTCTCCAGGAGCATTTTCATGGCACTTGAGGGCCAACTTTCCTGTGTGTCTGTCTTTGGGATTGTCTCTGGGGAAGACAAGCGAATAAGGCACGTGGCTTGCAAGGAAAATTGGGGAGAATCGCTGAAGCCAGATTGCCACGCAGAGGAAGACCCCGGGAAGAGTTCCTCACAGTGGAAACTGGAGAATAGAAAAAGCCATATTCCTGACCCGTTCCTGGTCAGTGGAATTGAAAATGCCAAGGAGTGGAAGAGCATCGGAGTCTGAGCAAAGTGAGATGGGGTGGGGGCCCCCTGCTCATCCGCCTTGTCTTGCCAGGAACTGCCTCACCACCGGCATCCTTCTGGAGGGAGAGGGAAATATCCGTGCACCTCAGCAGCGGTCTGCACAGTCAGGACGTGCGGGGGGTATCCCTGGCCCATGGCAATTTGTTCATTCATTCATTCATTCATTCAAGTGTAGATTGAGCGCTGACTATGTACCAGGCCCAGTTCCAGGCACCAGGGATGTTGCACTCAGCAAAGTAGACCCGGACATGCTGCTGGGAGAGTCAATGAGAAAAGCCTACTGCAGGTGGAATATGGTGTCAGGCACTGACAAGGGCTTTGAAGAAAAGCAGAGTAGAGTGAAGGAGTAGGAGGGATGTGGGGACACCTCGGGAGGGTAGCGGGGGCCTCTCAGACGTAGCAGTGGGGCAGAGGGAGTGCTCCCTTGTGGAGAGAGGGAGGGGCTGGTCCCCACGCAGGGAGGAGAACCCAGGCAGGTGGGCAGAGCGAGGAGCCTGAGCTGGAGGACACTGGGTGTGTGCTCAGGGACCAGCGAGGTAGCTGGTGAGCAGTCAGGGAGGGCAGGGGTGAGAAATGGAACCCGGGCTGGGGCTAGCTTGCGTAGGGTCTTTCAGGGCAAAGCAGAATTCTGAGAATTTTGGAATTTGTTCTAACTGTCATCAGATATTGTATCAGTTACCTGTTATCCCAATACTGCTGTGTAAGAAGCCTGGTGGCTAACAACGATAACACTTTGTTTCTGTGTTGCTCGCGAGTCTGTGGGTTGGCTAAGTGGCACTTGTCATCTTGGCTGGGCACTGTCTCTAGGCTGGGGCTCAGGCAGCCGACCGGCTCTTGCTGATGTCGGAGGGTTTTGCAGGGCGACTGGCTCTGTCCCTTGCTGTTCCACCTCCCAGCAGGCTGTCTAAGACTTCTAGTCATGGCACAACAGGCCCTGAGAGGAGCAGATGCACGTGAGACCTCGTGAGGACTGGGCCAGGATGGCACAAGTCACTTCCGTGGCATTCCATCCGCCAAAGCGAGTCTCAGGCTGGCCCGGTTTCAAGAGCGGGAGGAACAGACTGTCTCCCGCTTGCAGGAGCTGTGCGGTTGCCTTCCCCAGCCTGTGGGCGCAGGACGGATTGAGAATTGGGGATAGCGTGCAATCAGTTCACCACAGATGCTGCCGGACGGTGGAGAGGCGATGAGTGACATGTTTTTCACTTGTAAAGGGTCACTCCTGTGGCCA